CGCGCACTTAACCGCTTGCGCCACCGGGCCGGCCCATATTCGTGGGTTCTATGAAGACCAAATGACTGGCCACAAAGTCCCAGGTGAGGGTGCATTATCTGATGCACCAGGTAATGAAATGGGCAGGCCCAGCATCACTTCATCATCACGTGGAAATGGTACATTGGGGACTGGACTCAAGCAGGTCCTCAAAGCACAAGTAGCTGTGTGAATAAGGTCTCACACAGCCAGTGTCCCACTTCCTAGCCACCGGTGGCAGATTAACTACATTGGATCCTTTCCAACGGGAAGGGTCGCCAATTTGCTTTCATCAGAATAATTATTTGTTGGGAATCAGTGTTATTTTTTTCCCCCTGTTTGCCCTATTTCTGCCAGCATTACCATCCATGGACTTCACGTCTGTTTTCATAGTATAATTTTTAAAAAGTTAAAAACAGGACTCTCACACGAAAACATGGTGAGCATGTGTCAAAGATGTTATTTAACTCATTAATGAGAGAACCAGCAGATAAATAAAGCTGGTTCAAGGAGGACCTGAGAAATGGACATGTATAGAGAATGGAAAAGAGAATACTGGAATTACGTTGGACAATTTGATACAAAACTGGTTAATGTCTTTCAGGATTGTATTTTCTACCGGACAAAAATCATTTGAAATTTGAGAATGTTCCATAACTTTATTGAGTCTAGACTCGAATCAACAACAAAATAGTAAGTCAAAGTAACATTTAGAATATCAGAAGGACTTGGTAGACAACGTTCTAGTATGACACTGAAAAAGCGTGGAGAAATCTTCTTGCCTGATGGGATTTGCTGGTCTTTTCACTTTTCTCATTACCTAAAAGCAGGTGGCCCTCTAGAATTGTGGAATGGCCTGTTGAAGCTTCAGAGATGGCACCAGCTGGAGACCACACCTTGAAAGGACAGGGTGTCCTCCTCCTATATGTGGTCTATGGTCTCAACCAGCTTTGTTTCATCCATAACTAGAATACATGGGGTTCACAAATCAAGGCATAGAAGGGGAATGGCACCTTTCACAAGATGAAAGGTGCCATTACACATAATGACCCACTTACAGTATTTTTCCTTTCCATTCCCATAACCCTGCTCTACTAGCTCTTGGTATGTTAAAGAAACCTTTTTTGGATAATTTAGTTACGGGCACGTGCCAACATTTTATTACAATCATGCGTGCAAGGAAAAAAGGTCTCTTGTATGCCAATTAAAAGATTTGCTCTTGGTAGGGACATTTATAGAAGAGAACTGTTAAATAACCATCATTAGACTAGAGACTAGATCCAGAAAGTTAAAAATCAGGAGATTCTTGGGGCCGGCCCCGTGGCTTAGCGGTTAAGTGTGTGCGCTCCACTACTGGCGGCCCGGGTTCGGATCCCAGGCGTGCACCAACGCACCGCTTCTCCGGCCATGCTGAGGCTGCGTCCCACATACAGCAACTAGAAGGATGTGCAACTATGACCTACAGCTATCTACTGGGGCTTT